AGAATGTATAGTAAAAACTTTTTAATAATTTTTCATATTTTTCAAAAAGTACTATTATATTAAAAAAATTTATATTAAATTTTTATAAAGAAAATAAAAAAATTATTAATAAAAGGTACATATGTATATATATTTTGTTTATTATTACATTATGACTTTTTTTAATAATATTTTTTTATAAAAACAATTACAAATAAATTTTTAATAGAATTTTTTATATAAATTTTTTATTAATATGATTTTTAGAAAACGGTTTTGTTTTAACTTTTTTGTAGCTTTTTTAACACCTTTTAGCACTATTCTTTTTTTTCTACTTTTTATTTATTTTTTTAAATTTTACTGTATTGAAATAGCAAAATATATATTTTTAGCAATTTTAGCAATTTTTTTAATATAGTATTTATTTTTATTATTGTATAATTTTTTTTATAATATAAATAAACCAACCCCAATAGCAATCAATTAAGTTAACTTGGAAAGAGAGGAATAAAAACGGTGAAGGTTTCGCCGTTTTAGCCAACTGTCACAAATAATTTTACTCAACAAGGTAATTTCTCATATATTTCTCTGTTAAGCTTTATCTACCTATAATTATCGAGCTAATAACACCTAACGCTGCTTAATGCGTTAAAAGATGTCAGCGCTCAAAATGGACAAGTCAACAATCGCTTGACAGCTAAACTAAGCATTGATCGATGAATGCTTAGACAAATAACTGCGCGGAGAACGCTTTTGATGGGCGATGCGCAGCTGTGACGGCATCCTTTCTATTCGCGCGACTGGCGGTTAATGTAAAGTTTGCTTGTGTGTGTGTTTTCTTGTTTCGTTACTTAGCCAACTGCTTACCGCTATGGCAAACAGCTGTTGCTGTTGCGCCAATTGCAACATAAAGGTCAAGCATGTATGCGGCGAGCAACACAGCAAATGGAATGAACTTTTTTTGTCTTGCAGCAAAGTTGGAAATAAAATAAATATAAAAGAAATAATAAAGTAAAAAACTACGCGTGGAATTTTCTCTACTAAATATATGGTTTTTCCGCCTTTCAACGGTCGACGCCGCCAATATATGGCATGCCGCAACGCAGCAACACAACAATGCGCTCGCACAATGGCAAATGGAACTAAAGCATAATAGTAGTCAACTTCGAACATGCCACAAGCGCTTTGGAAATGTGAAAATGCGCGCGCAATGTGGCAAGTCAAGGCTATGTGCAACATCTTCCGCGTTAATTACCTGTCAGTGATTTTCTTTGCCACCGCCCGACTTTTGACTGTTGCCTCTTGCTGCCGCAGCTGTCCGTCCGCATATACTATCGATAATATTCGTACTCGCTCTGTGGGTTTTCTCACAGTAGCGCTCACGCATTGACCACAACTCTGCCCCTTTGCTCCTTATACTAACCGTTTTTTGTTGTTGTTGCTGCCTTTCACTATCTCCCACCAAATCGATTTCTGCCGATTGCGTGCTTAATTCACCGCATTTGCGCTAAGCTTTTGCCTTGTGCAAATCGATCAATGCATGTTTCGTTTCCTATTGCTTTCCTCCGAGTTATCCGCTTGCTGCTGCTACTTGCAACATGTCTGTGTAATTGGCGCTAGCGAACAGCTGGCATTCGCAGCGCAAACGAGTTGGCTGTGATTTATCAAAGAAAAATTAAATAAATAAAAAAAAACCAACAACAACAAAGCTTAACGTGCGCTGCATTATCTTGTTGCAAGTGTGTGTGTAAGTGCGCTTCTAAGCAAGCGTGTGTTGCAAGCTTGCTGATATTTCTATTAAAACACCAGTAAGTTAAGCGTCTCAAGTCTAAAGTTTTTCACGCAACCTCACCCCCTCCGGCGCCTTTTCACTGACCAGCTGTCCGGCTCTCTACCCAAAACGCTTGCCTGCTGTTCGCTGCGCTCACCGTTGCTGTCAGGCGCATGCAACAGAACCATAAATTTAAGAACATCAATAACGTGGCGGCTGTCGCTCAGCGGTTGCATGTCTATTACCCGCCAATAACAACAATAAAAATTACATATATTAGAACAAAAAAGAAATTATGATAAACAGTTGCCACACTTCTGTGCGCCGCACTCAACGCTGGGTGGTGCAAATGAAAATAAATACACACGCATACATATGCATAAATATATATAAACTGTAATGTTGTGTTTCGCTTTGCCACCGCCTTAGCACAAGTTTTCCACTTATTTTTCGAGTTAATAAGTGAAGCACCAAACAATGGCAGAGAAATAGCAAAAAAAAAATAGTTTCTGCAACAACACCAACAACTGCACAAAACACCTCTTCCCATTAATTAATTGAGCAATGATGCTGCTGTTGTTCTATATGTAAGTCAAACGAAAACATTGAAGGCTGCTCAGCACGCCACAAGCCCCACGCCGCTGCATGTTGCAACTTCTAAGCGCAACCAACAAAAAAGTTAATATTTTTGTTTTTTTATAAAATTCATTGTAGCTTGGCGAGCCATTTCGTACACTCGGAGTGTCTGCTGGCTGCCTTTAGTTGTATTTTTTTTTTGATGGCCAGCAGCTGTCCTACTTTTGTTGCATGCTCGATTAGCTAGCTGAATTTCATTGTAGCGCTGCCTTGTTTTATATACTTAGCTGAAATTTTTGCCGTAAAAAAAATTTAAATAACAATCTATCTGGTCATTGTTGCGACACTATTTTATAAAAAAAAATATAGCTAAAAATATTATATGCTTGATTTTAATAGAGCGAACTAATTTAATTAATTCTAAACTAAAATACAGATAAAAATTTTTTTTTCTTAAAATCGTTTTTGTAGTTTTTAGAAAACAATCTAAAGATTAACCCGTATTTGTATAGTAAATTTCATGAAATAATTTTTTTTTTGTTGTATTAAAAATAGTACTTTATCCGTATTTCTTTTTTGGCAAATTTTTTGGAATAGAAAAAGTTTTAAATTAAATGAAAAAAATATTTAAAAATAAAATTTCAGTCTTAAATAAAATAGAAATCATATTTCATAAAATTTCTAAAAAAAATATACAATTGTTGTTTTATGAGACTGACAAATTTCATATTCAAATCAGAACCGCTTAATAAGTTATTAAAAACAACTTTAGCGTAGAGATAGAAAAAAACCAATTAAGAGCAAGAATATAAGTTCACAAACTTTCAAAATCTCCATATGATTAAAAAAAATTGTTTATTATAGCCAAATATCTATCTATTTTATATTTTTTTTTACTAAAAATATTATATTTTCTAAATTAGCTCATATAAAATCACTTTTATTTCCCTTCTGCTAAAATATTATATATAAATATTTCTTTTTAGAACGCATGCTCGTTCGTAAAAATCATAAAAAATTATTTTATAAATATTAAAAAAGTTTGAAGAACTCATGGTTTCACTCCGTGCATGGAAAAAATGTCTGAAAAATTCCCTTTGAGGCTGGGGCAACGAATTTGAATTTTTTTAGCTGTACTTTATACAAAGTGATATTCAGGGTTTACTGAATAAAGTGATTTGAATGTTAAGAATATATGACGGAGCAGATAGCATTTTAGATAACATTTTTACAAATAAAAGTTGCCTAACAATAACACCTTCGAAATTTATTAAGTACTAAGATTTTATATATTCTGAAAGCATTTTAAAGTCAATAAATAATGACACTTTGCCTAAAAGACAAGACACTTATAGAAGAGTCTATTAATTTTCGAATTTGTATCAACCTATATGTATGTATGTATATAAGTGAGACAACTGATCTAAACTTCTCAAATAAATAATGAACTCTTTTAAAACCAATTGACAACTTCAAAAACGCTGCGTGCTTTGCCTTTTTATTTACATTAACATACAACACACACTAACACGCACATAAGTTGAAAAAATATTCTTCACATTTCTTTTCCAACCTTCTTCAGTGCATAAGCCTTTGTGTCAACGCGAACAAAGCTTAAAAATGCCTCAGCTATTTGCAGCCAAAAGCAACTATTATAGAAAAGTATTTGACGAACAAGTGACAAAGCTTTCAAAAAGGAAAGAATGCTTGACTTAGTTAAAATAACAAATAGAAACAACAACTGCGGCAATAATTACCTGAAACTGTCACCTTTTATTTACTACGTATCTCTTATATGCCAACGCGTAGCATTGTGGTCGCTACACCATTCGCTTGCCGCAAATCGCTCGCTGGCATGGATTCGATTAAAATTGAAATGGATGACAGCAGACGCACACAAACATGCCGCCGTTTAGTCAACCGTGCCATACTACGCGAGCGGCGGTCGCATGGCACACTATCAAAAGGCTGTTAAGCGTGCCGCATAGTACAGTTGTGCACCAATAAATAACTTTGCGGACAATGCGTTATGTGGAAAGTACTAAGCGTGTGGCCACAAGCTGCCATGGTGTATGGTGTAGCGCTGCAACGGTGCTTTGCGGACATGAGACAATGTCAGATTCTAGTGCACCGCTGAGAATTCTCGCTGAAGTGCTGCCATGTGGAATATTGATGAGTTGTTGGCAAGTCACGGGCCATGGTATAGATGATTATATTGTCACCATGCCACAGTGCGGCCTATTGTCATGTGCTTTCTTTGGCATTTTGGTTGTTCTTGGTGTTGTCTTTGGTTTGTTTTTGTGTGTTTTATGGCGACATTTTATGACATTTTAAGGTCACGTCAAAAGTGTGCTGCGCCGTGCACCTGATCGTCTGCTGTCATTGCGTCCATGGGACAGACAGTTGATGAAGACTTTTCAAAAAAAAAAATTTAGTAGATATTGACATGGCACAGCATGTGCTTGAAACAATAAGCGATTAACGTGGAAATGTTATTCCAGACTATATATTGGTATGTAACAATTTGATAAAATATTTCCTTATAATTTAATTTTTTACTTAATATTTTGAGTTTATTTTTATTTTTTACAATCTTGAATCTTTTTGTTTTCCTCAGTAATCTTTTCTTCCGTTTTTGTGTACCCTATGTATTTAGTACAAGTAAGCTACTTACCCAAACTGCAGCGAAAAACTTTGCGAGCAACTTCTATTTGTTTCAGCAACTGTAAAGAAAAACATAAATAAAATATTATTATAATTTTTACTAAGTTCAAAAATTTATAGTGTGCAAACTAATTATAATGACTCCTGATTTCTGTTTTTTTTTTTTATGTTGTAACTGACCGTGAACTGCAGCTTCAAAATAAGCTCTCTGAGAGCAGAAAATAATTTAATAAATATTTGGAGTTGCCACTCTCTTTCATTAAACTTTAACGTTTTTAATGAGATTTTTATATAATTTTATTCTGCCTTGAGCCGTTAAATACCGTTTTCTTTACCAATTTGAAATATGTTTTCACTCACGCTAAAATGTAGGAAACAAAAAGTTACTTAAGTAAGCAAACTAGCAAATTTCACATGTATTTACCCTATTTCATACGAAACCTGGACATTGGTTACGTTCTTCTAACATCTTTCTTTTACCACGCCGAAATCTAGGCAATATAAATTAAACTAAAATATACAACTACAGTGCTGAAATGGAGTCTTTTCAAATTATATTAAACAGATCGCGCATTACCTTAAAACAAAACTTTTGGAATTATTGATGCAAATATATACAAGTATATATGTTAGTTCGTGAAATTTTGTAATGAGTGTCGGGAGAGGGAATTATTTATATTTTTGCGTTTAAATGTAGGCAACAAATATTACACTTCTACGCACACTTCTTGTTATTTTAGCCAATTTAAAATTGGAGTTGTCTTAGGTATATTTGCTGTATCCTACGACGAAAAGCATGCTTTGAGAAATGAGTGTAGCAATAAGTTCTGAAAAACGTGATGTTGTCTGGATTTAAATTTCTATGCATCCATTTATCTCCCCTTGTAAGTAGCGGAAGTTCCATACTTCTGCGCTAAAATGTAGGCAACATTGTTTTACAGGTAAAAAAATTATATTTCGAAACACAATGTTATTCTATTAATACATAAAATATATTAATAAAAGATGTTAATATTGACTAAATTTAGTTTCCTCTAGAATTTCTTTTAAATAACCAAAATGTTTGCAATAATTGTATATGTGTCTAACCCACATGTGTAATAGAATTACAGTCTCTCGAGCGGTAGCTGGTGATATAGGCCGAGTAACCTAGATTTTTTTTAGCTACCATTGAGATTTCTACGACATTAAACATGCTAAAAGGTTTCAGACCAAGTTCCAAATCACTTTTTTCCCAAAGTATTTCTTTCTAAACTTTTTTTTTGCTCACTTCTTTGTTATCAATCTTTTACCCAATTCAATATTTTTTGTTGTTACGTTATTTTTTTTCCCCCTCATTTCAGACGTTTTCTTTAAATCGCCCTCTTGAGTCTACATAGCGGCGCACAAGCATTCGCTACTTGCCACAATTCCCAGCGGTGCATTGCTCACTTGAAATCCATGCTCTTGGAAAACTCGGCCAGCAGCGCAGATGCAACGGCATTTCTGTAGCAGGTGACATTGAGACAATTTATTTATCTCTGCTTGTAATTTTGCCAGCACGTCAAAGTTTTTATTATTTTAGATATTTTCCGTTTGCTTTGCTGGGCCAAGGCATCGCATTTTGCCGGGCGACTATTTCCACGCTGCCGCATTTTCTATCAATTTCAGAGCAGACGACAACAATTCGTTCGACTTTGTGTGCTAACTTTACATTGTTGTTGTTCTAACTTTTTAGTTACCACGCGCACGACATTGTTGTAGCCGAAGTTCAGCACTTTGGTTGTTCTTTTTGTAGTTCTTGTACCATGCAAGCGCTATGCTTTTTGTCACAATTTGTAAAATTGCTTTTTAAGTGACATTATTAGGTTTAGCCGCAAGGCTTGCAGCGCCCAAAGTGGTCTGAAAGCTTTTTTTACTGCAATTTTTGTTGTTGCTCTTCCTCTTGCGACACTGTTGCGCCTACCTTTGCAAGTGGCTGAGAATATTTTTATTAACATTTTACCTTCATTTACTTATGTCTATTGTTGTCGATTTTTGTTGTTGCCACATAACATTTGCCATTGTAACGGTGTATGTGTGCTGCACAGTTGCCAGCGAAAGTTGACCCAGTGCGCGCAGTCAGCCAGCCAGCTAGCCAGGTAGCAGGCAAAAAATATGCTTAATTTGTATATTTAACTTTTTGCAACGCGCATGGTTGCATGTGTGTGTGTGTGTCGGTATGGGTAAAAGTACAACCTAAATGGTTAATTGTTGGTTAACTTGTAAATTGCCTTTTTAAACTCGAGTTGACGGCACCAACAACAGCTAAGGAATTTATAATAGCGGCGGTCGCGGCAGCAGACGCAAGTTAAGAAAGTTCTGCCGCAAGTGTTTGGGTGTGTGTGTGTGGCAAGCGCAGCGCTGAGTTATCTCGTCAACTGCACACAAGCGTGTGTTATCTGTGTTGTTGTTGACATGCGCTGGCAATATTTTCGCATCACCTTATTAGGCGGCAGTTCATGCCACACACACGCTGTTACACAGAAAGCGTTGCTGCTACATAGCAGCCACAAATTTGGCATGTCAACGTTACAGAGAATTTTTGCTTCATTTGGTCTTGCATTGTTGTTTTCATTATTCGATGTCTGTCGGAGTGTGTGTTTATGTGATATTAAGGCGTATTTGTTGACAACCTGTTGCTGTGGCAGTAGTGGCACATATTTTCGCGCCAAACTTATTGAATTATTTTTGTTCCGCTTTTTTTCATGTTACTTTTTGGCCGTCGATTTTATTGTTATTTATTTTATTGTCAGTTTTTCTTTCTACTTTCCTCCTTTTTATTAATTCTTTTTAGTTGTACTACTTGCCGCTAGAAAAATTTCGCTTTTTGTTAGCATTTTTTAAGTATATAACTGTAGACCGCACCATTACATTTGGTTACAAATAGCTCGAACCCATTGCTTCGCCCAATTCCATGTTGCAAACTTGTTGTGCACTTGCGTGTGTGTCGCAGTGTTGCAATGCGTGCCAGCGGTGCCAAACTGTCACCGTTATCCATATGCTGCGCACCAGTCACTAAACTTTTGGATACTCATACTCGTATGCATAACCGTTGACCGTTTCTATTTCATGTTGCATGTTGCACGTTTGTCACTTTCATTCACGATTATTTCAATTATATCATGTGTTTCATATAGTCTTTATATGAAGTGTGGGCACTTTTTCTTATTAAGTCAGCAATTTATATGTACATATATCTAAAATAATTATTATTTTTTGAATTTTTTTTAAAGTAAAATTTAAATATTCATTTAATTTTTTTTTATTATGATTTGCTTCGTAGTTTTATATTTGCTTGATTATTTTTTTATATATTTTTTTTTAATTTGGAATTAATTAATTATATTTAATTTAAGTAATTATTACATTTTTATTTATGCCATTTGAAAATATTTTTTCATTTTTAGTAGTTAGTTGTTTAAGTAAAATTTATAATTATTTTTATTCTCATTTAATTTTTTTTGATGTTATCTGTTTACTATTTGCCTAGTTATATTTTGTGCAATAATTTTTTTATAATATATGGTTTTCTTTTATATGTATTTTGTATGATATATTTATATATTTATTAGTTTACAATTAATTAAAAATACATAATTTTTTTAAATATTTTTTTATCTCATGCTAAAACAAAAATTCTTTATTAATAAATAATTTGATTTTTCATTACTCTCTTTTTAATTTGTTATTTACTTGCTTATTATTTCATTATTAAATAAATTTATTTTTAGTAAAATTATTACCAAAATTTTTATTGTAAAATTTTTTATTTTAATCAATTATGTTAATTTTTATTTCTTTTATTTTTTTATTTTCATTTCCATTTCATTTAAAAATGAACATCTTTCTCTTTAAAAGTTATTTATATATATTTTTTTCCAATTAAATTTCTTAATTTTTTGTTAAATATTTAGATTTTTTAATTTCTATACCATTTCCTCTTCATCTCTGCCAAATAGAAAGTTTTTCGCAATTACCGAAAATTATGCAAATTACTGCATAGATATGCCGGCGCACACTTGCGCTTTATTAAAATTCGCAAGCATTTTTCACCACTTCCATTTGTGTCACTAGCTTTCTTCTTCTTCCTCTGCTTGTGCTTCTCCTAGTGTTTCGCCTTTGGCTTTGTCTTTGAATTTTGTCTGCGTTCGATTCTTTTGTGGTTTTCCTGAGTGTATTGTGCGTGATTGGGTTAAATGATTAGCTTAGTTGGTCACTTGAATAACAACCTTTTACTTGACATTTACTTTCACGCTGAATTAGCATTCTTTGCTGATCACTTGGTGAGATATTATTTGCTGGAAAAATAAATCTCTATTAGAAATCGATATTGTCAATCGCTAAGGTGTCATTATCTTGAAAGTTGGCGTTTTGACTTAATTTCACTTTCTCATTCAATTGCTGGTATGGAATTTGGAGGTTTGTACGTTTCAAAATTTTGGAATTTTCAATTATTTGAAAATAATTTGGAATATTCGATATTGATTGAATAATTTTTAATAAAGCCATATCCATTTAAGAAAACTTATTTTATTTATTTTATATTGTTAAAAGCAGATTAAATAGAATATTGGTAGAGAACTTTAGAGTAGTAAATATTATAAAATTGGAAAGGAATCATAGAAAAATTTAATGCTATTTTTAAGTTAAAGATATTCTCCAATTATTTGGAGAATTAGTTTAAGGAAATTTTTTACATCTTAAAAATAGAAACAACACTGCTTTTTTATACAAGTAGATTCATTTAAGAGTGATGACAAAGTACTAATATCTATCTTTGTATTGCTCAAAACTTTTGTAGCATACGATACATGTCTCTTTCTCAGAATTTTATAGCTTATTTTACCGAACTGTTTATAATTACAAAAATAATATAAGAAATTTTATAGCGTGACGTTAAATATTGAAATACTTTAAATTAGTTTACAACTATAATTTTGTTTAATTTTCAGCTCTTTATTGTTAAATTTTCTGTTGTTACTCTAAATATTATATATTTTTAAGCACTTATTTCCTAACTTATTATTTAAAATTAAAA